GCCAGGCCGATTCCGGCCAAGTCATAATAGCAGTAAGGGGGGTATGACAGGCTCACGCAAACATCAACGAATGGTAAAGGGGCTATATGACCTGTCCGAGTCGCCATGCACACATTAGAATCTGGACACCAATTTGCATGGGACGGAACTTGCATTTTTGGCTCTTGTCTATACAAGAAAGGCCTCGAGTTTTTAGAAGCCATCAACTCCGACGACTCGTGCATCAACAGGCACGTTAAATTGGACGCGATGTTTACCAATCTCAGGGAAGTATGGAAGAGACGACAGCCTATCCGGACTAGAGGAAGTTAAAACCGCCACTAGCGCCCGCACGATTAATTTCGGTCGAAAATTAGTTCCCGACCGACCGAATAATTACATGCGGGTGACATATAATCTTCCCCACTCACTGCACAATCACAGGCGACTGACGATCATAGACGATTACCTTATCCACTATATAAGCTCTTATCAGCCATCATTTTGAATTAACTGTTTTGTACAATTTTCACCCGTCTGACAACGACCTGGTGTGCCAGAGTCGAAAATTTACACAATAAACCACCGTCTTCCAAAGAACTCCTTCTACCGAATAATACTTCTTGGGATACCGATTTTCCAGTAACTTTTATTTTTGGAATGTCAGATACGAGGTTGAAGTTAAAGTATGTAAGACGTTGCGAAATTATTATTTTGGGTAGATTTTCACAGCAAACTGCATAACCAAACTATTTTACTTTAAATTTCACACAAATGTAGGTGTTGTTCGTTTGTCGGCCGCCAAAGCGATACCGCACCACAAACAATTTCCTTGGCACCTGACTGTGAGTCTGACCGAACAGTTATGCATGAACTTGGGCACGCTTTGGGCTTTCATCATGAACATACTCGGCCCGATCGTGATCGTGAGTTATTTCATTCAGTAGCCAATATTATCATCAATGACTACAGCTGGCTACCATGCCATTTAAAAGATATACAAATTAATGTGTTAACTAGTCTTCGAAATCCAAGTTCATGTTTGTATGTTTGCTGCAAATTGCTTATTCGAAGAAGCTGTCTTTCGTGAAAATGAGACTAGACGTGTTGTTTCTTCATTTTTGAAAATGGTTACAGTGTTGGTCTAAAAATGAATAGCAGTTTAGCTGTTTATGCATGGCAATAATTGAGATAATATATTTACTTTGGGCTGTTGAATTTCTTTTAAATGGGCCTTTGCTGTTTTCTTTTTCTTCTTTCCAAATAACAGGATACGTCGAGATTATAGAAGGCAACATTATAACTGACGCACTTAATAATTATAAACAGAAGA